GAGAGAGAGAGAGAGAGAGAGAGAGAGAGAGAGAGAGAGAGAGAGAGAGAGAGAGTGTGTGTGTGTGTGTGTGTGTGTGTGTGTGTGTGTTGGAAGGTGTGTTGGTCAAACTGCAGTGGGTTAAGAAGTAAATAAGAAAGTGGTGACAGTGAGTGTAGACAACTCTTGCAAGTTCAGATGAGAAGGTGAGAAAGCAGTAACAAGTGAAAGTTGATAATAAAGGAGAGCAAGGAAGTATCTGATGGAGCAAGGTCTTGAAAGAGGCAGAAGGCATGCACAGGTTTAGGAAGCTAACCTTGAACCATGGACATCACCTCACAGAGCTGAGGAAAGAGATAAGGTTAGGTGAGCGATCAGAGAGATCCTGTAGGTAATGTTAGAGGAACTAGTTAAGGGAGATAATTATAGATATACTCAATTTTCTTGAAGAAATAGGAGGCAGGGTTGTCTGCTGAGAAAGAGAGGGTCAGGCAGGTATGTAGGGGGCTAGAAAAGGGTGGACACACCTGCTCGTATTCCTGTATTTTCTGTCTCGCCTGCACACCAGCTAACCTGTCATGCAAGCTAGAAACCAGGGAGTTGTCAGCTTCATTTCTTGCTCTTATCTTCACATCTAATAACACCTAAATTCTGATAATTTTGCCCAAAAATATTCCTCAGATTTGTCCCTGACCTGACCCCACCACCACTTCCCTAATTCATCCCTTAATTATCGGTCTCTGCTGGACATTTAGTTTCCCATACCCAGGTGTCTCCTTCAAATCCTGTCCCCACATGACTACTAGAAATCTACACACTACCACTATCTTGCTTAATCATCTTTAATTGATTTTCACTGTTCAAGAATGAAGTCCAAGAGCCATAATGTGTCACGTGTAAGGTCCACCATGATCTGACCCTTGCAGTCCCAGGCTCAGCTGCTCTGCCCATCTTCATACTTGTAGGGGTTCTGAATGGTTTGCACAAACCAAGGTGTTTATCAGTTCTCAGTCCCTGATGTCACCTCTGCTGAAAACAGCTCCTCTCACTGCTTTATTAGATCTTACTAATCTTTTAAGACTCCGCTCAGCTATCCTCTCCTCTAGAAAGCCTTTCTTCATAGGCCCCACATCCCCAACTCCACTCAGATTGGATTAACTGCCTTTCCTCTGTCGTTTCCTAATTAACATGGCAGAGTATGCACATCTTTATCCTTATGCTTTATATAGGGTATGAACATCATTTATGTGTTTGTTTCAACCACACACAGTCTACAAACTCCCTGAGGTCAGGGAAATGTATGGGATTCACTGTGAAATCCTCAGAGCCTCATATGAACGAAGTAGCAGGCACTCAGTAAGCACTGAATGAATAAGTAGTTATTCTCTTAAAGGGAGTTATTTGCTCTACCAATTTAAGTTCTCATACTGCATATAAAATATAAATCAAGTTAAAAACTCTGATTTAATAATAACTTTCCAGTTATACACTTATTAAGTAAGGCTTATATGTGAGATATTATAGCATATTTATACATGATGAAAGGTACATTTTAGTTTCCCAAGATTATTTGTCACTTATCAATAAAATTCCATTAAGTGAAGAATAAACATATTTAAGGAGCTCATACACTGAATTTTAAAACAGTGATTTACTCTTGTAGATTTCTTAGCATATACCAGGGGTACCAAAAAAATGTACACATTTTAAGAGATGTTGTCTATGCATTACTTTTCAAAGTTGAATTATGGTAGCAATGTGTAGCATGATGTTCACTCAAAAGATGGTGTTAATCAAATGAATGCTAGTGTCATTCATTGTATTACAATTTTAATACAGTTTTTCTCTTTCTTAAAATGTGCATACATTTTTTTGGCACCCTCTGTATTTCACAGTCAGGACTTCTAATTTCCAATATTTATTCTTTTTCTGCTTGGCTCAGTTAAAAATGTTCCTCCCAATAAGTACTTTCATACTTAGAAAGTCCAGAGAAATCATTCAAATATTTGAGTTCTAAGCTGAGTGTGACAAGAATATATTTTTTAGAATCCAATATAATTGCTGTTTCATTTCTCCTAAATTCCACAAGTACTACTGAATAAACACTCTATAGACACCATTACTATATATAGTGAGCTACTGATAAGATTAATTTGCCAGCTAAAGGTCTGGCAAATGCCTTGATAAAGAACAAAGCTCAAGCTAAAAGTCCACACGGCACTCAGCCATTGAATTCGCTGTCATTTTTTTGGTTAATAGTTTGAGAAAATTCAGTTTTATAAAATAGGTACACCAAACTCATGACTGGCCCTTACATTTGAGTAGCTGCTGCAGTTCACCCTGCTTTTGTGGTCAGCCTTACTGCCGTGACTCTGTACCTCCCTAGTTCAGTGCTGATGATGGAACACTCCCATGCTCACATCTAGCGTGGCTGGAGTGTGACGAAGGGCAACGTGAAAAATGAACTATATTGCCTTTGTTTTATAATAAAAATTTTGAGTTTTTAGTGTTTCCCTAACTAACAAGGCAGAGTGCAAATTAGTGTCAGTAACTATTATCTACAAAAGCTCGCGCTCACTGTGATTAGTGAGCTCACGCATTTCTTCTAGTTGTAATACTTGAAAATTCTAAAAATATGATCAGATATATTTTATTCTATCATGACCTTTAGAAATAAGTTCAATTTTTTTGTGAGTGGCAGATGTTTACTGAAAATATCATAATTGAATATTGGTAACACAATGAGTTAGCACCTAGCTTTTGTCTTAGCAGATGAGTAGACATTTATATATCTTATGATAATGCCTATACATGGAAATTACAGGGTTCTGAAAGCAGTCTGTGGGGATGAGGAAAGGCCATGATGAGCAGAGTAAGATTCCTTCTAAGAAATTAAAAATAAAGTTGCCTTATGAAATAAAACCATAAGTCAACATATGATGGATATGAGCAGAGATAGACAAAGTTCGCTCAAGAGACAGAATGGATCCCAGGCTAGCTTGTAACCTACTCGAGCACATTAATATAAATAATATATCAACAAGGTATTTGTGGGGAGGTACATGATGGAGAGATAGTAGACAATAAAGGAAACACAGAAAAAGGAGAACAGAAAGGTAGGGAAATGCTGTAGTACTTACTTAAGTAATAGTAAAAATATTAAAACTAATAACAATAAGACTTCTATAGTGATTACTGTGTGTAACAGACTATTCTAAGCACTATACATCTATTAATGCATTTAATCTTCAAAACAATCCTGTGAAATAGAAACTAATATTTTCCTTATTTTAAAACTTAAGGAAATCCAGGCATAGAGAGGATAAGAAACTTACTTGCCCAAGGTCAGACAGCTAATAAGAGGAAAAGCTGGAATCTGAGCTGAGATATTTTGGCTGCAGAGTCTGTGCTCTTAATAACCCAATCACACTGCTACACTCTCGAGAGGTGTGACAGGGCTACATCAGGCTGCCTCAGTTGTGTACCCCTCATGTGTTCATGTACGAGTATTCATATCCTGAGCACAGACTACGCATGTTTCTGATTCAGTAGTGAACAATGACTCATTTATTCACTTCTGAAACACACAGATTTTGGAAGTACTACATATAGTTAAATCCCATATTTTGATTCCATGTTTAATCAGACAACCCTCAAATAATGGGGTATCAGCTGTAGCCTGCCTATATGGAAAGAATGTGCTGGTCCAGTCAACATAAGCATGTGGACTGACTGACGGTTCCAGTTCCTTTCTGAGTTATTTACTTGGTATTCTGGATTACAGTCATCGGGCCTATGAGTTGATAAGAACCTGCATTTATGAGCCGGATCAACCCTTTAAGCTCTTTAGACTAAAAGGTTTATTTAAATAAAATATATTTATACTTATTTACAACAAGTATCCTGATAGTACTTAAAAATGCTTTCCATTTCTTCAAGGTGACCCATTACTTGTGATTCACTTTTGGTCAAATAAGGATGAATGTGTTGAAACATTTAAGTACTTAGTACCCATGCAGTTCAATTCAACTCAAAACTTGCAATTCCATAAAAGTACTAATTTTGGATAAATAAATTAGGTATACTACTTTTCATGAGCCTAAAATTTTAATAAGTTGTTTAAAAAAATTTCCACAATAGTGAACTTCTTTGAATACATGGTTCTCTTAAATCCTACGAGAAAACAGCATTGCTATTTGATCATTATATAAAATCTGCAGTAAAAATTTCAGAAGGGAAGATTTTCTTTTGGGAATTAATGCTGTTTGCTCAAATCCTTTGCTATTATTATAGTAGCAGTATATACTAACTTCTCTATGAATTTTTAAGAATTTTTCTGAAAATCTTATATGTTATGGGTAGAACTATTAGGCTAATACCCATTACACGTTTACTTTTTAAAAACCAAAATATATGCATAATACACATTTACTTTCAAACACCCTAATCTAACTGTTGTAAGTTTAGGACTATGTATAAGCTCTTGAATGGGAGTAGATTGATAAAAACCTAGGGATGAAAGTAAACATAATCATTACCAATGATGATTTGAAAAGCCTGTTTACTTTTCAAGTAAATGATTACTTTGAAAAGATTCATGCAATGAAATTGCTTTCCAAGTGTGTGTAAATAATTAAATAGCAGTGAAAATTTAAATAGAATTGAGATCAACTAACTTTTCCTCTTGATTTCTGTAAGAAATGGAATCCTAATAGAAACCAGAATCTTTGGTTCACATTTTTCCTCCTAATAATATATTTGTTACATGAAATAAGCATTGTAAATTATTTGTATTTTTATTTCAATAAAAAGCAAAATCTAATAAAAAATAGAATTCTTTTATACGATAAAAACACCACAATATAGATTTGGTCATATTACAGCAAACAACTGGCAATGCTCTGAGATATATGAACTCTGATTTCAACTGGTAAGTAAATTTATAAATAAAATTATCACAATTTCATATGATAAAATTATCACAATTTTTGTAAATAAAATCTTAATTCTATTAAAATATTTAGAAAATATGCAGTCATAAAGTTTTATAAAAATAAAAGCTCAAAAAGTGTTAATGATATTATACATTGGCTTTCTTAAGTCTAAAAAAAGATTTCTGAGTATTATGGTAAAATGGTGACCTTTATCATTAAATTATGATAGAACTCATCTAGGAAATGTTTTGATAAATAAAAAGCTCAAAAGTCATAGCAATAGCTTTGATACTACCTATTATTATTATAAAAAGTATGTGAACATAACTATTATATGAAAGAGAAAAATGAAAATATTTTTAAGTTTACATATTATTCCTCCAAGGTATGAAATGTTAAATGTTCATCAACAATTAAATGTTACAAAATCTGGAACATGAGTTTTTCCATATAATCAGAAATGCTTTGATAAAAATGGAAGACATATGATTAAAAAAAGGGAGTATTTTGTACTCCAATTTCATAAGAAAATGTTCAAGGTAAGCTTTAACTGTGAATATATATTCATGAGATTTCTCTATTCTTCACAACAAGTTGAAGTGGAAATATGTTCTATGAATATATTTTCCTCTTATTTTTCTTCTGTATTTACATAAAACATTGTATGGCAACACATCAAAGGTTAATGTTGTACAATTAATACCTGTAATGTGTTCTTCCTACAATTGAATTTCCTTCTCTCCACTGCGCGGTCACATCAGTGGGCTCGAGTAAGCCTTCAAAAATATGCTCCCAGAGATACAAACCTGGTCATTAAAAAAAGAAAAACATTTATTGTCTGATGTACTCTGGTGTGTAGGATGAGTTTAAGTTCTGTTCTTTTATATTTTATTTTTCCTCTTTGGTCCCTTGGCAGGTAGTGCTACCAAGCAATAGCTCAAAACCATCAGTATGGCAGCTACTGTATGAGACAGAACTCAGAGGTTGTCAGTACAAAATGTGGAAAAATATGGGTTAAAGACAATAATCTCTCTTACTCTAAATTTGAGAACACTCTAATTATCACTGGACTTTTACTACCTGTTTTATCCTGAAATGTGTTACAGTGCTATGTAAATTACGACAGTAAGTCCTTTACTGTATGTAGTAAAGGTGCCATGAGTCAAGGAATGCAGTGGCCTCTAGAAGCTGTAAAAGGCAAGGAAACAGATTCTCCTCTAAGCCTCCAAAAGGAATACAACCCTCTGGACACATTTCACACTTCTGCATTCAGAAATATAAGATAATAAATTTGTGTTGTTTTAAGCCAGTAAATTTTCAGGACTAGGTTATGTCAGCTATAGGAAACTACAGGTTATGTAGCTATAAATTATTTGTACCTGCAAATGGAATACCAATGTAACAAGTATTTAAAATTCTGGAAGTGGCTTTGGAATTTGATAGTGGAAAGAGGCTGGAAGAATTTTGAGGAGTATGATTTTTCAAAAGCCTAGATCAGATTGCCTTGAACCAATTATAGGTAGAAATCTGGATGCTAATGACTCAGCTAGTGAGAATTCAGAAGGAAGTTGGGAGCACAGTAGGAAAAAACCTATATCATCTTAGAGAATACCTAAATCATAAGCAGACTGTTGGTAGAAATATGCATGTTAAAAGCGTTGCTGATGAGGGCTCAGGAAACAACATATTAGAAACTATATATTGTCATACGGTCATGCACCACATAACGATGCTTCGGTCAACAATGGACTGCATGTGATGGTGGTCCACAAGATTATAATTGAACTGAAAAATTCCTGTGCCTAGTGATGCCATAAAGTCACAGTACAACGTGTTACTCACGTGTTTGTCGTGATGCTGGTGTAAACAACCTACTGTGATGCTAGTCATATAAAAGCGTAGCACGTACATACATTTACAGAAGTAGGCTGTACCATCTAGGTTTGTGTAAGTATACTCTATGATGTTCTCACAAGGACAAAATTGCCTACTGACACATTTTGTACAACGTATCCCTGTTGTTAAGCGGCACATTACCGTATAGTGGCAGAAAGCTTAGCTGAATTGTGTCCTACAATTTTGTGGAAAGCAAAACTTGTAAACAATAAACTTGCATGTTTAGCTGAAGAGATTTCCAAGCAAAGTGCTGAAGCTGTGGCCTGGTTTCTTCTTGCTGATTATAATAAAACATGGGAGGAAAGAGAGAGATTGAGGGAAGAACTGTTAAGTAAAAAAGAACCAGTACGTGATGATTTGGGAAATTCTGCCTATTCAGATTGTGAAACGGTGAAAATTTAAAATCACTGTCAGGAAAGCAGGCTCTGGAGAGGCCAAGGATGTGACTGGATATCCTTTGGCTAATGCCTCAGAAGGACAAAAAGATCATACTATTTGGCCACATAGAGAGCTCTCAGAGGGTATTAGATGTGTGATTTATGGATCTCTTTCAGTAATTTTAGCAGAACCAGAAATAGAGATGGGATTATCAAGGAAAGAATGGTAGAGCTCTTGTCTAATGCAGTGAATCCTTATGACATACACAGAAGACCCACAAGGTTCTTGAGAATGTGTATCAGCAGAAACACTGCCAGCTTGGACTAAAAGGGACTGAGAGAGGGTGAAATGAAAGAAGGCTGTTGGACTCCCTATCCTGTCTGCAGGAAACAGGCTGATAAAACTACTCTGAAAACACATGCTACCCTTCATGAAAAAGGAAGGATGATTCCAAGGGCAGAGCTGAAAGGCCAGAAGCAAAGTCTCGAGCCACAGATTATTTCCATGAATTTGTAACTTAATGGATTTGAAACCTAATGCCTGTTTGGATTTCAAAATTGCTTGGACCCGTGACTTGATTTTACTTCCATTTTCTCCTGTTTGTTTTTTTTTTTTTTTAATTTAATTTTTATTTATTTTATTTTATTGGGGGAATTGGGGGAGGGGAACAGTGTTGGAGAATTGGGAAAGGGGAACAGACAAGTTGCTGTCCTTCTGTTCTTCAGTCTAGTTGTGGAGGACATCACTTCACTGGCTCATGTTGGTATTATGATCATTGTGTTCTTCCCGGCTAAGGCAGTCGGTCGCTGGTCATTGGATGGCCACTCATGGCGACTCACGGCAGCTCACAGCAGCCTACTGCAGCAGGGGCTGCAGCCTACGCTGTTGCAGGCCACTCAAGGCAGCCCAGCTTCAGGTTGAGCTGTTGTTCACAATCTTAGCTGTAGAGGGCACAGCGTCACTGGCTCATGTGGGAACCGAACCAGTGGCCCTGCTGCTCAGAGCTTGCACTCCCAAGCCAACTCCTAACCAACTGAGCCACTTGGCCGACACACATTTTCTCCCTTTTTAAATAGCAATGTTTATAACTGATATCCTATGATTGTGCCTGGGGAACAGGTTGATGAAAGTAGTGTTTGATAAAACTCATCTGGCCACTTTGTGCTTATAGGATTAAAAAGAGAAAAGTCTGGAAATATGAAAACCTGTTAAGATGTATATTTAATTAAAAACAAGAGTGGGGAAAATGGTCATTTGAAAGAAGAAATTAATATTAGAGATTTTTATAAAGAAAAAAANCCTCTCTCTCTCCCCCTTTCTCTTCTCTTCTATTTTTCTCTTCCCTTCTCTTCCCTTCTCCTCTCCTCTCCTCTCTCTCTCCCTCCCTCCCTGCCTCCCTCTTTCCAATTCTACACGGATCACTCATGTTTTTGCTTGTCCTGTGAGCAAAGGCCACCTTTGTTCTGGACTATATTTTCAAAGATGTTTGGATAGCAAGCAGCCTTGGAAGATAGAGATAGCGTCCTCCCCTGGAGCAAAAAAACAGGTTTGTTTAACTGTCTAGTATCATAAAGATAATGATTTAATTTGAGGCAAAGAGTTCAGGCAGGCTTACTGCACATTATAAAAGATTTGGGTTTCCTAAGTTCAAGGTTTCTGTGCTTGACGAAAACACTGTACATGTGTAGCATCCACTTGGACCCCTCTGCAGTGCCCCGCAAAGCAAAGAGAACAAAGACTGAAAAAACAGAACAGACTATCCAAGAACAGTGGGGCTACAACAAAAGGTATAACATATGCATAATGGGAATACCAGAAGGAGAAGAAGAAGAAAGGAACAGAAGAAACATTTGAAACAATGATGAGTTAGAGTATTTCAAGTGTTTGAAATCAGCTACCATATTCTAGTCTTCTCGAGTCTTCTTATGTTTGAGCTAAAATTTCCCAAATCCCTTAAATATTTTTCATTTGGAATGGTTTTGAGTCTGTTCACCATCTTATATTTTCCTCTGCAAAGTTCCATTATAAATTGTGGCACCCAGTATTTCTATATACCACAATGTCCTATTGTAAACTGAAGCAAAAACAATATAATTTCCAATAGTTCCATAAACAAATAATTAAGGTATGACTCTAACTGAAAGCAGGTACAGGATCTGTATGCTAAAATCTAAAAAATACTCAAGAACAAAATAAAAATGAAAGACTTAAATAAATGAAGAGAGATACTGTGTTCATGGATTGGAAGACTTACTCTAATTAAGATATAAATTATCCCCAAGTTGATATATAAATTTAAATAAATTCAAATAAAAATTTAATAAGGATATTTCATAGANAAAAAAATTGTTAGAACTTGACAACTGGAGGCTTCAGTACCTGAAATTTAGTGGTCAGTAGTAATCTTTTTTTTTTCTTCCCCCCCACCATCTCCCTATCCACCCCCTCTCCCCACCGTTGTTCTCAGTCTAGTTGTGAAGGATGCAGCTCACCGGCCCATGGTGGTATTATGATCATTGCGCTCTACCCAGCTGAGGCAGACGGTCGCTGGCCGTCGGCTGGCCACTCATGGTGGCTCTCGCCAGCTGCTGGCCACTTACGCTGGCCACCAGCCACTCACGGCAGCCCAGCTCCAGGTTGAGCTGTTGTTCACAATCTTAGTTGTAGAGGGTACAGTATCACTGGTCCATGTGGGAATTGAGCCAGCAACCCTGTTGTTCAGAGCTCGTGCTCTAACCAACTGAGCTATCTGGCTGCCCAGTCATCTTCAAGGATGTATTTTTGCATAAAAGTGTGAATGAATTTATGAAACAACATGGGCCAGGCGTTATCCTTTTACTGTCCTCTCATCTGATACTTTCTATCTATATCCCTTACTGAACATATAAATCTAACTCATGTTTAAAGGCCAAATAAAGCCCCCTCTAATTAATTAAATTCTTGCTGACTCTTCTAAGAATTGAGGGTTCCATTCTCTAACTGAGCATAATATATAATTTGGAATGCTAGGCTTTCATGATACTCAGAGCAAAATGCTTTTGTGGGCAATCAAGTTTAATCAACTACATACTATATCCCCTTCTTGGACATTGTCAATGAATACTGGCCTATTAAAGACTCTGAGAAATCAATAAAGAACCTTGTATAATTTTGTTTAGTTCAATGTTTCCCAAACTTGTTTGGCCATCAAGGGCAGTGGCCACATCTTATACTTGTGTATCAAGTATCCAACAAACATAGATTCATGAAACTTCAGTTGACATAGGCATTTAATTATATTGAGGCCTACACAACCCACTTTGTATATACAAAGAAAGCTGTGCTCAGCTAAAGACCAACAATAGAATACGTGTGTGCATGTGTATTTATATAGATGTTGCTTAACAAGAAAGGATAAATTAAATATTGAAAAAAACATATCATGAAACCTTAACAAATGATGAAATAAGCTATAAATCTATTAAAATAGTTTAATATTAATAAAGTACATTTTATGATGCTTTTTACATCTCTAAGCTCTATACAGTAACTTACCAATGGCAGCTTTGCCCCAGATTTGTATTCGGAAGTCTGTTTTCCCTTTTGTGGATTTATTTAATATTTGAAAGCTAGTTTTAAATCTGTGTTGTTGCTCATTTTTTTCATCTCCTTCCCAAGGATTCCATTCTTCACTTCCCAAAGTAGATTGTTCTGTGTTTTAAAGAGAGTAACAATGTTTATCAGTAAGGTAGACCTGGCATTTGAACTGGTGAAACACACACATTAAGAAAAAAAGGATATCAGAATCTAGTTTTTATTAGTCCTTTACTCTGAAAGATCTTAAGAGATAAAATGTTAACACAAAATTATCTTTCCCAAACGAAAACATTCTAAAATAACTGGATAATATGTATCAAGTTTGCTGCAAGTGTAACTTTTGTAATTCTTTATAGATTGTATATATATATTATATATAATATATATTATATATATAATATATATATATATAATATATATATATATATATATATATATATAACCTATACATAAAAACTTGACTTCAGAATGTAAAGTGTCCAACAGTTTTAGATACTATTGTGCAAAATTCTGAAAAAAGGGAGAGATGAGTCTGAGTCCGATCTTGGCACAGGTCAAAATACAGGACAGGATTTGGAGGTGAATCCCTGGGTTTCAGAAATCATTGCACCAGAAGAGGCTCTTTGTTTCAATAAGGAAATAGATGTGGCATTTCCGCGAATCTGAAGCATTTTGTGACAATGTCTTGCATATTTAAGACAAGTTTTAAAGGTGTGGGAGCCTGTCAGCTTTGGGGTTAGGAAGTGGGGAGAGCGTGTGGGATTCGGGCGAGGATTGCGGCAATTCCGAGCGCAGGGCAGGTTCAAGGGAGCAGGCGGAGGAAAAGCGCACCCCACGGCCCGGGAGCAACACCGGACAGGAGCGCGAGATTCCCGGACCAAGAACGAGGTCCCAGCCGCACGCCTCGGCTCCGCCCCGTCTGTCTCCCTGCAAACACGCGCCCGGTCGCGCAGCCGGGGACTGAGGCCACCAACCCGGATCCTACCTCGGCCGCGCCTCTCCCGCACCGGGGCCGCCTCCTTCCGGAGGCTCCGCAAAGATGCGGCCGACGCCCAGCGGCGGCGCCCGAAGAAGACGTGGTATGCAGCGTACAGCGAGAAGAGGCAGTAGAGGGCGATGAGAAACGAGCAGAGCCGTTTCCGCGTCAACCGCATCCCACTGAGGCTTCCCGTCCGGCTACCGCCACCAAAGAGCTGGGCCGGAGTGGATGCCGCCACAGCGCGGCGGCCTGGGCGGCGTCCGCTGCAGGTCCGGGTCCCGGAGCACGGAGGCACCGGCACCTACCCGGCCTGCGTCTCTTCTGCCCCGCCCAGGCTCCGCCCCCAGCTCCTCCGCCCCGCCCCAATCCAACCCCAGCTCAGGCCCCGCCCTCAGAGCTCCCAAGCCCCTCCTCTCCCTTCTCCTCCCCGCCCCGTCACCGGCCCCGCCCCTCCAGGGAGGAGACACCCGGCTTGCCTCTGGCTATGGAATTCGGCCTTCGCCCATACTCCGCAGTGCTCCCCAACTTCGGCAGTATAGACACTGTCCCTGTCAACCCTGTCCTCTTCCCCGTGTACGTAAAGACTGCTGTTATCTGATGGGAAAGGAAAAACAACCCCTCCATCCCGTGGTCCATGAAGACCACATTAAGGCACAGATCATAGCCATTTTTGTTCAACACCTAATCCCCAGAGTTTAGTATAGGGCCTGATACATTGATAGATGAATGAACATAAATTCAAAAAATTAAGTGGTGACAGTGGTAAATGTGAATGTGATTAATGCCATTCAGTGTTACACTTAGAAATGTTAGAATGGCAAAGCTTATGATTATCTGTATATCTATATCTATATCTATATGTCTATGTATCTATATATCTATATATCTATATCTATATCTATATATAAAATGGTCTGACAAGTTCAAGAACTTGTTGCAATGATGTTGCTAAACTTTTATGATATCAGAGGGATTATTCATTATGAATTTGTACCAACTGGACAGTTAACCAAGTTTACAATTTGGAAGTGCTGAAAAGGCTGCATGAAAAAATTAGACGACCTGAACTTTTCATCAGCAATTCATGGCTCTTGCATCACAACAATGCACCAGTTCACATGGCACTCTCTGTGAGGTAGATTTTATGTAGTAAACAGATAACTGTATTGGAATACCCTCCTTACTCACCTGATCTGGCCCCCAATGACTTCTTTTTTTACCTGAAGGAAATATTGAAAGGAAGACATTTTGATGCCATCAGGACATCAAGGGTAATACACGACAGCTCTGATGGCCACTAAAGAAAAAGAGTTCCAAAATTGCTTTGAAGGGTGGACTAGGCGCTGGTGTCAGTGCATAGCTTCCTAAGGGGAGTACTTCGAAGGTGACTGTAGTGATATTCAGCAGTGAGGTATGTAGCATTTTTTCTTTCTTTTATTTTTTTAATTGGGGAATTGGGGGAAGGGAAATAGACAAGTTGCTGTCCTTTTTGTTCTTCAGTCTACTTGTGGAGGACGTTGCTTCACTGGCCCAAGTTGGCACCGTCATTGCGCTCTTCCCGGGTGAGGCAGATCAATCGCCGGCTTCTGGACAGCTGCTCACAGCGACTGTTGGCCGCTCACGCTGGCTGCTGGCTACACACGGTAGCCCATGGCAACCCAGGGCAGCAGGGGCTGCAGCCTACGCCATAGCCGGCAACTCATGGCAGCCCAGCTCCA